ACACAGACAGACACACACACACAGACACACACACACACAGACACACACACACACAGACACAGACAGACACACACACACAGACACACACACACACAGACACACACACAGACACACACACACATACACACACACACACAGACACACACAAACACACACACACAGACACACACACACAGACACACACACACAGGGTTGTAATTATATATTTGTGGGGACCCTCCATTCATTTCTATGGGGAAAACACTAATCCCAACATGACAACCTTAACCCCTACCCAGCCCTAATCTTAGTCATAAGTACCACAATGTAATATAAACATAATCCACCCCCCACATTTACACAGCTACACGAAGCCTATAGACGCACACATGCCTTATAGAGAATGCGTATAAATACACAAATAAACAAACACACACCTCAGACTCAGGAAGTCACAGGAAAACTTTAGGCATTAGACAGCTGCTTTTATCAGCTTCTCTGTGGTACATGCTGGAGATTCAAGAAAGACAGCAGCTGAATGTTAGCGCAGACTGGCAGGAATTGATAGTTATAATAATAATAATAATAATACATTTTATTTTCATTTTATAGTTAAGTCCAAAAGATCAGTCGAGCTGAGTTTTACAGGTTGACAGCATGGTCCTGAAAGCAAACACTGTCCTCTGTGTGACCTGCTAGCTGTCCTCTCCTCTGAACCCTCTTCAGTTTCTCTTGGTTGTGTCTCCTGGTGTTCGTCCACTTCGCTTCTCGTCTGTCAGGCACAAAGTACGGCCGTTTCCCAGGCTGGCTGGAGCTCTGGCTCACCATGAGGAAGCAGCTGGGCCTCCTGTCCTTCTTCCTGGCCTCACTGCATGCCATCTACAGCCTCTGCTACCCAATGAGGCGTTCTTACAGATACAAGCTGCTCAACTGGGCCTATCAGCAGGTAGAAGCTTATTGGCGGGGGAGGGGCTTATTGTTGGAGGTGGTTCCTTTTAAAACGGAGTAGCCTCAGGGGATGGGTTTATGGTTGGGAGAGTTGTTTTTTGGAGGGGAGGGGTCTATCAGTGGTGGAAGAGTCTGTGCATCCCTCGCAGGTGCAGCAGAACAGGGAGGATGCGTGGGTGGCGGATGACGTCTGGCGGATGGAGGTCTACATCTCCCTGGGTGTGCTGGGCCTGGCCGCCCTGTCCGCCGTGGCCGTCTCCTCCATCCCATCCGTCAGCAGCTCCCTCACATGGACTGAGATGCAGTGCATCCAGGTAAGGAGCCATCACACCCTAGACTTGACAAATCAAGCCCAGATAAGTGGCACAGGAGTGGGATAGACAGCCACCTGCGTGGCTCTATCACAAGTAAGGAGGTGGAGTTTTAACACATGATGCAGGAGATCTGTGTCTTGATATGATACAGCAGCATTCGGTGGATCAGAACAAAAATCTTAAATCAAGTCAATTTATTTATATAGCACTATTAAAAACAATCAATGGCTGACCAAAGTGCTTCATTTTAATAAAAACAGTAAGCATAAAAAGTGAGGGGAAAAAAAAACAAATGACATAAAACAAATAAAGAAAAATGTAAAATATAGTAAAACAAACATTACACTTACAAAAAATTGTAATTAAACACGCAGCGCATTTATCTAAAAAGCCTCAGCAATAAATTGAGCTTTTGGCCTCGACTTAAAACGTTCAATGGTGGGGGCAGATCGCATGCGGAGAGGGAGGTTGTTCCACAACTTGAGCCCGGCTATGGAGAAAGTGTGGTCACCTTTCCTCCTCAAACGGCTGATTGGTACGAGGAGCAGCAGCTGATCAGATGACCTCAAGGCTCTCGGTGGGCAGTACGGATGTATGAGGGCCCTGACATTAGCTGGTGCTTCTCCATTTAACATTTTAAAATCGAACAGTAAAATTTTAAACTCTGCTTCACTGGCAACCAGTGTAACGATGCTAAAATCGGAGTGATGTGGCACGATTTTTTGGATTTGGTTAGTAGGCATGTGGCAGCTTTTTGCACAAACTGCAGACAAGACAGCGCAGTCTGGCTGACCCCAAAATAAAGTGCATTACAGCAGTCCAGGTGCGAGGAGATAAAAGCATGGATCAACGCCTCAAAATCACTAAAAGAGAACATGCGCTTGATCTTGCTTAAAACTCTGAGATGGTAAAAATAAGATTTCATGACCACATTTATTTGTTTGTCAAATTTAAAATCCGAATCAAATAAAAAACCGAGATTCTTAACCTGCGGTTTAATGTGGTCTGCTAGCCAAAATCACAAGTTACATGACTGACGGCAACCGGGGATCCAAATATTAATATTTTCATCTTGCTCTCGTTCAGGTCTAGGAAATTTGCCTCCATCCACTGCTTTATGTCCTTTAGGCAGTTGAACAGGCATTGCAGTGCATCAGGGTTGCCAGGTTTTAATGAGAGGTAGAGCTGCGTGTCGTCAGCGTAACATAAGAACATAAGAAATTTACGAACGAGAGGAGGCCATTCGGCCCATCAAGCTCGTTTGGGGAGAACTTAACTAATAGCTCAGAGTTGTTAAAATC